TGGCGTCAGTGCCGGCCACAGAAGAGAGTGTGCCTGTAATAGCGCTTTCTAACATCACACCGCTAGATTCACCGTCTCGGCTGTTGCTAGCACCGGTTGACATAGGTCTTTAGAAAAGTGGATTGGTATCCGATAGATAACCTTTAAAAGTTTCTGTTCGATCGACTCGGCGATTAGCATTGACTTGATATGTGAGGATAGAACTCGAAATCGATCTTGTTTCACCTGCACCTAGCCATGCAGGTATGTTTTCGGGCAAACTTTTTTCCAGGCACCCCGTTATACGGTTACTATACTCCATTCCAGACAAGCATGCATATGGGTAAATATATCTCGATGTGGGCCTCAACGGCAGCCGGACTATATGGGGAAGCGCTCGTGACTAGCGTCTTGAGACGCTGTCTTCCTACTTCGCTGGTTGCGTATCCCTAGAAAAAGTATTCTCATAAGCATATTTTTTTCTGCAGTTACGATAATAAGCTTTGCGGTGCGTTGCTGAATATTCGCGAGGATGCAGCTCCCTGAATAGCCGTTTTCAGAAGTGTGTTCTGCAGCTGCTGAAGCTCTGCTTCAACTGTTTCAGGCGAACTCTCTAGCCACCAATCCCTGATCTAAATTTCTTTTTATATTTGGAAGGAATAAAACCGTGAAAATTAATGTCAGTAATGAAATTCTCCATATCGCGGTCACAGAAGATGACACAGGAAAATTCAATTGAAGGTGAAGGAGTTTTGATGATGATTGAGTTCTGCCATATCAGAAGTTGAGAGTTCATCTCATATCGCGGGGCACTAGTTACCGAGGAATTAAGGCTCACGAGGTTAACCCTTGTCAGTACGATCTTCCAGGCCCGGTTCCTTAAGAGAAGAAGAAGTCATGGGAGGCTAGATTGGTAGGAACAGTTTATTATGTACAGAAGGAATGAAGAATATGTAGGAGTAGATTTAACTGCCGGACCGCACATCCAGCCGCAAATGCGGCTACGACCGAAGTGCCTGCCTGACGAGAGTCGCCGCATTGAGGTCCCTGTGTGTTGGTCGTGATAGGCAATGACTAGACAGATTGAGGCCAAGCTACTGTAGATTGAGGCTAGGTCACTGTGGGGGTTCTCGCGTAGTCAACAGCCGTCTGAAAGGTCGGTCAAAGCTTGCAGTCACGTGACCTCATGCGGGTAGGTGCATGGGAGGTCACTACATATTTTCCCGTCCACGTTTTTATTTCGGAATACTCTACGCTGGATAGATCCATCATCTTGCCCACTTAGATCGGATATCGAGGAGCGCAATATTGCAATTTTGAGGACTTGGAGTGGGGCCTCAGCTACCTTCTCCGAAAGTTTCCACCCAGTGTTGTCTCGATGCACAGTACGGTTTCTGGTTTCCATGCTCGAAGAATAAGGTTCCACTTTTATGAGGAGTAAAGTGCTCCTTGCAGTTCTGAGCGAGGACATACCTCTATGATTGTCGTGAACTAACTGGTTTCTCTTGCGTTTAGGAGGTCCACTAGGGTGGCGTCTCTTTAGACCTGGAGGATTCGTCTTCGTCTCTACAGATATCTACATGCCTGCTTATCCAGAAGTCTAAGTACACTGTATCCAGAGACTCTTTAAGGGACCGAGGTAGCATCTCGGGCCTTTCAATTTATACGAATATCTAAATGTCTTCTACGGTGGTGGCGTTTAAGTGAGATTCAAACTGATTCCGACTTGCGGAAGTCTGTTGA